GCTGCGGCGCCACCCGCCACTTCATTCTGAGTGGAGTAGATGTTACAGGCAGACCAGCGGCACTGCGCTCCCAGTGCGCACAGCGTCTCGATCAGCACCTGCGAGACAGCGGGGTGAGCGGCAGGCCCGGGGGAGCGGTGATGGGCACAAGCACACCAGCACGGCGCAGGGCTCCAAGCACAGCTTTGTGCAATGGGCGGCAAGGAACCGATCCGAGATCAGCCCCAGCAAACACTGCCCTGGGGAAATGCGGGTGGCAGAAGCTCTCCAAGATGTTTGCAAAAAAGTGAAGGTGCCCCCTCCAATTTCCCAAGGCTGGGAAAGTTAAGAGACTTTTTTCCCCAGGGAAACAAATGGTCTCTCCTACCCCAGATGCCCCAAATAAGCAGCCACTCACCGCAGTCTGCGCTGTAATGTGGGTACAGCCCACGATTTTAGCTCCAGCCAAAGGCTTCTCCCCTTGAGCTCGTTTCCTGAGCGAAATCAGAGCAGACATGTCTGCAAAAGGAACAGAGGGGTTTTAATGACAGCTTAGGCCAGAGAGGCACCTCTCTGCCAGACCAGCTCTCTTTTCTGGGGTCTCCCAGGTTACATCCAGCCCCACAGTTTTTGCTGTAGTCGTTACACAGTCAGGGAGAAAACCCCTCATCCCGGGCCTGGCAGGTCTGTCCAAAATGGGACCAAAACACCAGTGTCATTTGTCACTTGACCATGTAACAAGAGAGGTTAGGACAGGCACTGCCCAAGGAAGGCAATCTGATGCGCCCCAGCTAAGGACAGTCACCAGCCCTGCAGCAGAACAGCACCCTGGAGAAGCACCTAAAGAAGATGAAAACAGTGCTGCCACATCTCAGAAGGGCTGCTCTAAATGTGCCTGGATTATCCTCCCCTTCTAAGGCTTTGGCAGCATGCGTGTAAAAGGAGCCCGAAAGCAAAGTTACCCAATCACCCCACTGGAAATGGTAACTCAGCTTCCCACAAGCCCCAGGGGAAGGGGTTGGGACTGTCAGTTTTCATGTCTCCGAAGGCGTTGCAAGATCCTCGCCCACTGAGGTTTCTCATCCAAAGCCACCAGAACATTAAACCCTGCAAGAGCCCTGCTGTCATTAGAAAATGGATGCCACACGTCGCTAACGTTTGCTGTCGCGTCTAGCTCTTCCCCACATAATGTGTTGATTCGGGGGGAAAAAACAGGGCATCCGAGGCTGTAGCATGAGTTGTGGGAATTGCCATGGCTCAGCTCCTGGACTCCGGAGAGCGCGGCACCCAGCCGCAAGCCCCACGCTTCACTTTTACCTTGTTCAGCAATCTCGATCTCCCGGCGCCCAAACTCTGCCTGCTTGATGTTCTTCACACAGAAATTGCTGCTGCCTTTGGAGTTGGTTTGTTGTTTCTCTCGGGGGGACACCTCATCATCAGAGCTGTCCGTGTAGGAGGCAGCTAAAGCAGGAGAGGAATGCATGTTACCCCAGGTCTCAGGAGTCCGCGCACCTCCTACCCTTCAGGTTCCGGCTCCGTTTCGCTTCCCAGCTTTCACGCACACACACACTCATGGCTCAAACTACAAATCTCCTAAGGAAAGCCAATGTCCAGAAGGAATTTGGCACTCTTGCTCCCTAAAACAACCCAGAACTAACTGGGTTATCAACTGGTAATCAATGCCTGAGCTTCAGGAAGCCCCAGAATTATCCCCTCCACGTCCAAGTACAACAGAGCAGCGTGGAGCATCCTGACATGCAATGTGAGCAGCCCGTTCACAGGAGCACCAACACCAGATTTGGGAGAGGACCAGGCATGGACAAGGAGCCCAGCACCTACCAGAGCTGTAGCTGTCAGTGGAAGACTGGGAGATGGAGCGGGACAAGGACCGACGGCCCGTCTTTGTCGGGAACTTGGTGAACTCCTGCATGTCATCTGCAAACTGGATTTGCTGAGAAGTGCAAAGGAAGAGAAGTGCTAAATCAGCAGGTACTCCTTACGGCACATCATCTTTCCAGGCTATACGGGCCCGTGGCTCCCTTCAGTCCACCTTGACTGCTGTGGTTGCAGAAATGAGCATCACCAAATGCATCAAGGAACAGCTGTGTGGCTACAGATGCCAAAAATTGAATCCCCTCCTCTGCCTGATCACCTCTGTCATCAGAAGGTTAAAGCAGATTTTACACCTAACACCTGAAGATAAAAAAAAGCAGCACCCAGCGAGGCTTGAAACATTCCCTTTAGCCCACCTCTGGCTCCTTGAGGCTTCTCCAGGAAAGTCAGACTGCTCGTACAACACAAATACCGTGCAGCCCTCCAGACAAGCCCTGTGCAGGCAGAGCCTCCGCTCCAACCCCAACCGGTCCCAACTGATTTCTGCCCAAAAGTGCAGCAGCAAGAAAGCTGGGGTGGTCCCAGCAGAAACTCAGATCCCTGGTGCTTCCAGGCTCTTCCCCTGGAGCAGAGCATCCCGCAGGTTAAAAACACGGCGCATCCTTCCAAAATCAACACTAAAAGCAGGGGGAAAAAAACTCAGCAAGAGAGAACATTTCAACAAAAAGTAGTTGACATTGCATTGCCTTTCACTCTCCTCTGCCTTACAGATGTTTCCATTGTAAGGAGAAGCCCTAAAACAGCCACCCCTCCTTCCTCTCTCGGCCAGAGGCAACTCAAGGCTCCAGCACCTACCACCAGCTCATCAAATTCAAATGCGTTGGGCCAAAAGGAAGGGAAAAATAGCCCCAAACTGCTCAGCTGCTGCACTCATCCCGTGTGACCAGCTAGCAAAAAGCCTTATTGCTGCTTCTGCAAGAGAAAGGCACCAGAGATGAAAGGGAATTAGGAAAAGGGCCAGCAAATCCAGCCTCATGCCCCCCTCCCCGGCACGCTGCCATGCAGAAGACCCTGACAAAGAGCCCCAGCATGGCCTCTTCCCTCTGATCGTGTCGCTGCAGGATTTAATTTTGCCACTTAACAGGGATGAGACGTCATCGCAGTGGGATTAACAAAGCATCCCCACAGACCCAGGAGACCTCAAGAAGAATCCTGAAGAAATCAAGTTGATGGAAAGAGGCAAGCCACAGTGGCCTCGAGGAGGGGTTTTCCATGCCACAACAATCCCAAAAGCTCCCCGAAAGCTTTGATGCGGGAAACAGCCTTCAAAGGGAGAAGAATTAAACTATTTAGTTGAGATGATCCAATCCAGAAAGGAGGAATCTGCATAGTCTGGGTCTGGGGTGTCTGCAGCGCTAGCATGGCTATTTGGGCTGTAAAACAGAGCCACGGTTCCTGGAGAAACCCAGCTGACGGGCCAAAAGCAGCGTTGGTATTCTGCTCAGGAGGGGAAAGAGGGACATGAAACCCACGGCTCAGTCCAAGGGAGGACATGTGGGGTGATGTGGGGCGATGGAGATGACTCCAGCATCCCCTCCAGGAACAGACTAGCACCAGACCAAGCCCATCATCACACTCAGGCAGGCATCCCAGGCATTTTTGTGGGTGCTGCTGCTAAAAGGCTTTTAGCCAGCTCCTCCGCACTGGATACGTTACAGCCTGGTATCTGCTTCCCAGACCAGACTTCCCAGCAGACGCCGTGCGATTCTGACGCAAATTGCATGAATTTGCATCAGCGGAAGGAATAGGAACGCTAAATGGGAGTTTGCAAGTTGGGTTTTGCAACTGTTTTAGGTCATTTGGTGCAGAGGGAGGAACTGGAGGGCATCGATACCTACAGCACTGCCAGGAGAGCTGGCACCAAGAGATAAGAGGTGCAGAAGCACTTCCAGCAAGCAGCACCAGGCAGGTAACAGCAGTGTCCCGGAGCTGGCAGGCACAGCGGTTTCCCAACCAAGGAATGATATTGCTGGAATTTGTTCAAGGTCAATCTTCCCCGAAACAGCCTGAGAAAGGCTCGTGCCACCTCCATGCTGGCGCATTGCTCATGGGCATTTCCAGGGGCAGGCAGCGAGGAAGATCAGCAATTTCAGAACAGCAAGGTTTCCACCCCTTCGCACCCACCTCTTCAAACCCATCAAACCAGAGGGTGTAAACATGCCCCATAAACCAGCTGCTGGCATTGCAACAGCTTAAAGTGTTAGCTGCGGAATTTTCTCCACTTCAGGGAAAGGTTTCCAGGGAAGAGTTGAACCCAGGAGGGAAAAACCACATAATCCAGGCTTTGCTGCTCCAGCCCAGGGTGCAGCTGGGCATCTGTCCATGCTTACAGCATCCAGAACACGGGAACCCCGGGCCAGGGCACGTCCCTGCAGTGCAACGTGCTGCCTGGATGGCCTCAAAAAAAGGTCATTTGGGATGCAAGGGGAAGGAGAGGGTGGGGATGGAGGGCTGCTGCGCTCTCCAGCTCCACGCCATCCCCACACCACCAAGACAACCGAGATTGACCAGACACCATCGTCCCCTTCAGGGGACCAGTTGTGGGTGCTGAGCCAGCTCGAAGCCACAGTCCCACTTTTTAGGAGAAACAGCAGTTCTAGAAATGGGGGGTTTGGGGGAAAAAAAAAAAAAAAAAAATGTTTTGAAAATGGGGGGTTTGGGGAAAAAAAAAAAAAAAAAAAAATCACCACTAAAGAAACCAAGCGCTGAATTAACCACAGTAATCCCCGCCGTGGCTTTACCAGAGCTCATCTGAACTCCACAGCTTAGCAAAATCTGCCCTGTCTAAAATTATCATCAAACATTGCAAGCAGCTTCCAAATCGAATGAACCGTTCGCACATCAAACCCCCTCCAAGCCCGGCAAATTAACGCAGCGTCCGGCAACCAGCCGAGAGGAAGATGAGGGATGCTGCGGTCAGGCAAAGCGACCGAGCCGACTGGTGATGTGCGTGACCATCGGCCGTATTACCTTCCACGTGCCGGGCTCTCTAGCTGCATTAAGGCGACGGAGAAAATCTCGTAATCCCTCAGCTTGTCATGGGAATTTGAATGAACGGCATCCCCGGCCGGGGGATGCGGATGAGTCGACTGCAGCTGACCGAAGCTGGGCTGGCTGCGGCGACAGGGTACCGGGATCGGGACCGCCCGGCTGTGGAGAGCACGATCGCGAATCACATCCCAAACTTCATCCTGCTGGAAGCAGCTTTTCCAACTGGGTGGAGCACAAGGGTTTAAGAGCAAGGAAAATATTTCTTCGTCCCAGCAATTCATGACCAAGGAGGCAAAACAACACAGCGCTGGTTTCTCCGCACAGGAAGAGCCGGGGCGTGTTCTGGCATGGCTACTCCCTTACAAGGAGGGGACGGGGTCCTGATGGAGCCCTGTGCCAAACGAGCAGCTCCCTGCTTGGTAAAGCAGGGGGTTTTTTGGGGAGATGCCCTGTAGGAAAACACCAGGATCCAACACCTCCTGCCAAGTTTTCACAAGCAACGCCGAACACTGCCTGCTCCCAGTCACACCTGCCGAGCCAGAAGTACATTTTCTCCCCTTGCGAAACCTGGCGCGACCGTGCTCATTCCCACGCGGATCCGACTTCCCAACAACGGCTGCTCGTGTTCAGCTCAAACCACCCCTCCAGGCGCTGGGTCTGGCCAGGCAGGAGGTGCGGGAACACCATCTTTGCCGATACAGCACCGCATCCCAAAAAGGGTCAAAAGAGGTGCTAGGGACCCTCGGGCTCTCCCAAGGCAAGCGCCGGTCACCTTGTTTGGTTGTGCTGCCCGGCGCATCCCAAAACCACCGTGAAGCTAAACAATCGGCTTCCAGGAGTTTCTCCCTACGCTATAAGGTGCCTGCCCATACGTGGGCACATTGGCCGGGCAGTCCCGAACCCAGAAGCACACATGCCCCCAGCATGTACAGCCTCATTTGTTTAATTATTACAACATAGAAAGGGCAAACAGATTCCAGATCTGGACTGCTACCATCTAAACGAACCAGCAGCTCGTGACTGCTGGGTGTGCCATTCTCAACGGTTTATCCTGCGGTTTTCCCCGGTTTTCCCCAGCAGTCAGGCTAGAGAGCAGCTTTTTGAGCTTACCGAGTAAGAGAAGTTCGCCCTCCCTGCCTCCGAGCTGCAGAGGACTTTGTCAATCCAGCTGGATTTACCTCAGGCACAGATGAGCCAGGCACGTCCCTCTCACACAAGGCAACCCCACTTTTAATTTTAAAACTCCTTCCATCCCCAGAATGGCTCCAGAGAGGATGTTTGAGCTCCTTCGCCATGCTACGCATCCCTGATTGCATCCCGTGCAGCCTCGGGGGACAGCGGCGGAGCAGGTTGCGGAAGGAGGAGGAGGAAGATTTGGAAAGCATCCACCAACTCACAGCCATCCCCGGGGCTGCACGCTGACCCGGTTCACCAAGGCACAGGCTCCACGGGGGAAAGGACACGTGCCGGGAAGCAGCTCCAGGCTCCCATCTTACCACCACCAAGTTTGCCTTAGCAACCTTTTATTTTTTTTGTTCAATTATTATTTTTCATTAGGAACAACATGAGTGATGGCACATCCACAGTGGTGTAAAAAAAGTGCCCTTATAGCCACTCCTGCACTAGAGTAACCGGGTGGGTACAAGAGCAGGCCGTGCACATCGCCCAAGATGGGAAGGAAGCAGTGAACCACCTAAAACCCTCCAGCCTCCTAAATTTTCTCCACCATATCTGTGGACATGACAACACAGCGCAGTGACCCAGGTAGAAACAGCAAAATCGGGGCAGAGCACGTTCTCGCAGCAACACAACCGCCTGGAAAGCAAGAAAGTCTCTGTAACCCACTTCTGCCCTCCCAGGAGAAAGTCTGAAAGGATCCGGGGTCCTGGGACCTTTCCTTTGCCTGCAGAAAGCCAGCAGCAGAGATCAGGACTATTCAGGGCAGCCAATTCCCCTTATTCCATCTCCTCTCCCCAACAAAAACGCTCTGGCAGAGGCTGGGAGGGCACTGCCGGTTGCCCACGCTGCGAAGGCAGCCCTGACGTGACCTGTCTTAAGTTCATAATTTCTTTGTCATTCCTGGAA